TAAAATTTATATATACATTAAATTTTTCAAAATCTAAAATTAAAAATAATATATAACATATAAATTTGAAAATTAATGCCAAAATACTTAAACTTAACATAAAATTGGAGTATTTGGAGTATCGCTTAGCTACTTTAAAAATGTACATTTAATTATTTTATACATTTCTAAGTATTTGGACAAAAAATTTATAAATATTTTTTTGTATTTGGAGTATTGTTTATCTATTGTAAAAATGTACATTTAACTATTTTATATATTTCTAAGTATTTAAGATATATATTTTATATATATCTTAAATATTTGGACAAAAAAATCAATAAATATTTTTCGTATTTGGAGCATCGTTTAGCTATTTTTAAAAATGTACATTTAACAATTTTATATATTTCTAAGTAGTTTGGAAAATTTTAAAAACTCTCATGTATTTTGTATATTCGTAGATGTTAAATTTTAAAATAATTAATATATTTAAGTATATAAATCTGGTTTGAGTACACTCGAATACCCCAGATATTTCGATTCAGTTTTGGTTCTCTAGATACCAAAATTTCGAATCCGTTTGGATATCTAACCAATTTTAGTTAAAAACTTGTACTACTTTTTGGATTAGATTTAATTCGGTTATCTGGATTCAGTTTTTTTTGCCCAACATATTTTTTTATTGTAACAAAAATTTAAACGAAAGGGATGATGGTTCATATTGATTTTGGATATACAATAATTTATAAACAAAACACACTTTATTATGCGCGATCCATTTAGTTAATCATTATAATTTGTTTAAGACTCATTAGAAAAACGATTGGCTGAATTGAAAAACGTTATCACTGATCACAAAATTTTCAATGTGAGATTTTTAATATTTTTAGTAATTTATTATCGTTTTAAAAAATTCAAAATATAACATATAAGAAAAAAATATAATTTTATTATTATATGATTAATGTGATTTTTTAATTTCTATTAAATATAAAAATAAAGAGGATAAAGAATTGTCATCATATCTTTATTATTCATAAAAATTAATTGTGATATATATGTTAATAATATTAGGTAATTCTGTATCTTTTATATAAGGAAAGAATATGAAATATTCTTTTGTACACTACAAATTAAATATGATAGTTAATATAATAAAAATATAACATATGTTTAGTTGGACCAACATATTTCTCAAAGAGTTATAAAAATCATTCTCATTGTGACACTTGGCTACCAAAAATGTTGTAATGCTACATGATTAACTAGATTAATATATAGGGAATTTAAACTACTAATCAAAAATATTATATGTGAAATTTTAAAATGTTTTATTAATTTATAACCGTTTTAAAAAATGCAAAATATAACATATATCAAAAAATCAATTTTTTTGTTATATATTTAACGTTATTGTTTAATTTATTTCGCTAATTTAAAATTTAAAAATATGGTAGATGATACACTAATTTTTATTATTCAAAACCATTAATTATCATATATATTTTAGTCACATTAGGCAATTCCGTAATTTTATTTAAGGAAAGAAAACAGAACATTAATGATAAATTTATGGCTAGTTTAATAAAAAGCTTATTATAAACATAGATGGACCAACTTTTTTCTAAGGATTTCTAAGACTCATTATGGTGATGACACATGGCTACCAAAAATGTTGTAATGTTTCTCCTTTAATATATAGGGATTAGAATTAGACCTACACATCTGTATAAATATATTTTCACTTATAATGTATAACTTGATATTATAATATAAATTTTCATTCATACAATACTTCTATTTTAATATAGTATAAGTACTAATTATAAAATTTATGAAAAATAGCATATATTTTTTTTCGTTTATACTATATTAATTAACATTAATTATGAAATTAGTTATTACATTATTTTAGAAAAAACTATTTGAATTTTAGTAAGATATTTTTATATTTTTTCTTAGCTGATTTTGTTACAACTAAACATAAAATTATAATTTATAGTTAAAATTATTTTATTAATAATATTCTTATAATTATTACTTTTTATAGAAATGTTACATATTGAATTCATTAATGTAAACTAAATGAGCTTAAATAATGAGTGAAATAGTCCTACTAGAACTTTGCACAATATATTTTTATTAACTTTATTTTAATAAAATATATTCGGCTGGCGAACGTAGTTTTAGTATCCTAATTTTAGTATCTACAACTTTAAGATTGACTTCAGTATCCAAATTTTAGTATCCACAACTTTAAGATTGATTGGTCATATTACCAAATGAGATGAAACGACGTCGTTTTACATGATTTAAAAATAAAAAGAAGTACACCCCTGGATTCAAACTCGGGTTGGTTGGGACAGATGACAAGAAATTTTATCACTCGGCTAGTGGCACTTTCAGTGGAGTTACTAACACATTTAATTTTATTTGGTACTAATTAAATATAAAAAATCTCTTAAAACTTTAAAATCTTAAAATTCCAAAAACTTGAAACTTTTTATAAATTAATTATGAAATTAAAATAAAAAAATAAATTTTAATTTTTCTTTAAAAAATTAAAAATATTCAAATTTTCATTTTTCAAACTCAAAAAATAAAAATTCAAAGAAAACGAAAAAACTTAAAGTTACAATAATAACTAAAAATTAAAATCGCACTCATAATGGGTACAATATTTATTTTAAGCATTTTAATTTAATTTTTAATATGTGGGTATTTTTTATGTGTTTATAATTAATTTCAATTTCTTAGCAATTTTTTAAAAAACCTGAAAATTTTGGAAGATTTTTGATTTTTTAAAGAAAAAAATCATTTTTTATTTTAAATTTCACATTAATTTTATATTTTTTTATTTTTCAATTTTTTGGAATTTTAAAGATCTTTTAAAGTTTTTAGAGATTTTTTTTTATTCAATCAGTACCAAATAAAATTAAATGTGGTAGTAACTCCATTGAAAGTGCCATTAGACCAGTGGTAAAATATTTTTCCATTTGTCCCAACCAACCTAAGTTCGAATCCAGGGGTGTACTTCTTTTTATTTTCAAATCATGTAAAATGACGTTGTTTCATCTCATTTGAAAACAACGTCGTTTCACTTAACGTCAACAATAAATGACGTCCAATCTTTTTTTGTTAAATTTGCTGATTACGTGTTAAATTGGCAAGTCAACGAAAACATTGTAAATTAATTCTAAAATCAATGAAAGTTTGTGTTTTTTTGTCAGCCCAAAAATTCATGTTTTCTTTTGGCAATTCGTGCAAAGTTCGTGCTTTTTTTTTTGCCGAATTCTCTTTATACATTTGATAATTTACTTCTTTTTTTGGTCTAAGATAATTCACCTCTTCATTCAGTTCATTGTTTCCTTTTAATGCTTGGCTTTATAATTGTGAATTGTGTATTTGGGGTCTGCTCATTATTGATGTATCAATGTATTATGCATGTATACCCTCTTGTACTCTATTAAAATCAACTAGAATGTGACTTGCACCTCCGTGCGGATGTTTAATTTAACTTGTCTTCAAGGGAAACTCATAAACGGTTGGTTTTATAAAAATAATTCATATGTTTTTTTTTATGTTTTATAATTTACATATAGACTAAGATATATTAACAACATATTAAAATTCATATATATTTTTATGTTTTGTAATTTACATATACAGTAACTTGATGCAGTTTGATGTAATTGTACAATTCATTTACTAACTTGTTGCTTTTTTTTGTTAATTTATTTTAAATTAAAAAACATAGTAATTTTTTTTATTGTTTGCATTAATTTTTTTATGAATTATTATTAATTTTATGATATTTTGTTTTCTTGAAAATTGACTCTCCAAATTTTTATATTTGACTAAACTAAATAAGGTAGTATTGTATTTATAAGTTTTTTTATATAATAAATACTATTGTTTTTAGTTTCACCACAAACAAATAACAACCATTGTAATTAATTAAGTTAAATCTATTTTAAATGCATTTGTAGAACTTGTAAATAAAAAGAAATACAGAAGAAGTATATAATATATTGTAAATGTAATGACTAAATATGTAAATAAAAGGAAATATATAATATGTTATCTATGTTTTCAAACAATTTTTATTTATTTTGCTATCTATGTTTTCAAATAGTATTAAAAGGTACTTCAGTTTTAATAATATAGATAAATGAATCTGAAGTTAAAACAAAAGGTTTCATGCGCTAAAAAGAACTAAATAGCAATGTGGTTTTTAGGTATCATAATGACTCGATGTTAAATCTTCAGTGTAAAAGATTGAATACACTGGAGTCAAATATTATTAAAATTAAATTTATCAATCCCAAAAAGTAAACTGAATTCTTTCTTTAGCAAAACAAGAATTTGGACTAGGGATATTTTGGCTTTGTAATAACACTTGTCACCACAATGCAAAGTTCAGACATGGAAACTATCTAATAGTTTCCGGCCGAAGTAGGTCAGAGTTGACCCATAATCTCATAAGTGACAATTAGAGAAGGAAATGGTAACAAAATAAGGGAATGATATAAGCCCACATCGTAGATGTTCTATTTTAATTTTTACAAAAGAGTTCTAGTTTCTTACTCTAAAAAAATGGGAGAGGTTTTCACGTATTCAAAAAAAAAAAAGTCATTTGGGATAATAAAATATTTCATGTAATCTCATACTATTTTTTTCTAAAACATTCACCCTAAAATATATCGTGTATTTACAAAAATGCTATATCTTAATTTTGATATTTCCCTCTTTTCAAGTGCCATCTGTATACCGAGCCCTAGAAAAAACAAGAAAAAGGCTCTAGAGGGGCAATAAAGATAGAAAGTCATTTATTCTGGCACGAATATGATGGTCAATGTTATTAATGCTATGAAAATGAGACTATTGTATTGGCAACAAAGAGACACCAGTCAAAGGATCACACAACTAAAGAAATTATAAATCAGTGTTCTACTATGAATAATCAATAAGAACAAGGAATACATTTTGAAACTTTGCTTTTGCCCGCTGAAATAACCATGGGGTGTTGCTACTCATCGTCTTCCGGGGAAGTTCCTCAACATCGAGCCCATCAAAACCACAGAGAAGGAGATCCACCATTGACAAAGTTCTCCTTCTCCGATCTCAACATGGCCACCGAAAATTTTAATTTGAAAAATATTGTTTCAGAGAGCATAGGAGAATCGTCCAATGTTGTCTACAAGGGCCGTTTGCAGAATCGTGGCTTGGTCGCTATTAAGAAATTTAATAATATGACTTGGCCTAATCCTAAGACATTTGTGGTATCCTTTCTTTTTTAAAAATCAATTTTTGAGACGGTTCATGTTTGCTTTTTCGATGGTTTGATTATGGTTTGCCTTTCAGGAGGAGGCACATAGAGTTTGGGGGTTAAAGCACAAGAGCCTCGTTAATTTGATTGGATATTGCTGCGACGGAGAGAAAAGGCTTCTCGTTGCCGAGTTCATGCCAAATGATACTCTTGCTAAGCATTTGTTCCATCGTATGTTCTTTTACTTTTACATTCTATATTGGTGGTTTACTTAACATTATTGTGATTTAGATGGTTCTAAAGACAAATAAATGTTGTGGCTAGAAAGATCCATCACTAACATATTTCATTGCATATGTTTGTACAATCGATTGAATCAGAACTTGTTAGCATCTTATGTATATGACTTTGTTCTATTGCTAATTACAGGGAAAAATCAAACCATGACATGGGAAATGCGATTGAAAGCAGCATATTCTACAGCTGAAGCATTGGATTATTGTAGTAGTGCAGGCTTTGCATCCTACAATAGTTTAAGTGCTTACTCAATTTTGTTTGATGAGGTATATATAATATATAGATTCTTCCTAAAAACATTTTCCTAGCTATGCGTTCTTGTGGTTTCAAGATGCTGGACCACCTTTTTAATTTTCTTGCTTCATGGATATTGAAGAATGGTGATGCATGTCTTTCCTGTTTTGGGTTAATGAAGGAGATCAACAATGATCAAAGAACAACTGGTAATCGATTTTCAATAATCTCTTCATATTATTATTATTATTATTCTTAGTATTATTATTATTATTAGAATGTGATGATATATTGTCCTTGTAGGAAGTGTGAACCCTGAAAGTGTGATGTTTAGATTTGGTACCATCCTTATGGATTTGCTAAGTGGAAAGCCAATTCCTCCAAGCCATGTAAGTTATTGTGTTCAAGTTATCGCTCGCTTACTTACAAGTTTAGTAGGCTGATATGTGGATATAAACCATTTTGTCTTTACTTTGTGATTGTAACTATCTTTCATTGTCAGTTTCCTGCAACACAATTTCAAATGCTATGTATACTTTTTGAAATTTATTAATTAATTTTCTGCTTCTAGGCTCATGACATGATACATGGGAAAGATACTGTTGAGTTGATTGATCCAAACTTGAAGGGAAATTTCTCTGCAGAAGAAGCTACCATAGTTTTCAAACTCGCTTCTCGATGTTTGCAATACGAGGATATAGAGAGTATCAACACGAAAGACATTGTTACAACACTTGAAACCTTGCAAACTAAAACAGATGTAATCTATTATTGTGACAGTAGTTTCATTCTCGATTTTTTTTTTGTGAATTTATGTTAAAACCGATATTCTTGCTTGCAGGCCCCATCTTACGCAATGCTTGAAATGGTGAATCAAAGAGATTTATCTTGGAATAAACTTTCTCCACTAGGAAAGGCCTGTCTGAGAATGGACCTCACAGCTATTCATAAAATATTGGTGATAGCAGGATATGCAGATGACAAGGAGGTGATCGAGGTAACCAAACACATCAACTAAAGATTCTGCTGCTAATTTGGCGTCAAAGGCTTACTATTCTATTTTATGTTTGTTCATGTGCTAAGTTCTCTTTCGAAGAATGGAT